CTCTAGGGCCAAAATACTGACCTCTCTAATGCCAAAGCCTCTCTAATGCAAAAGAATTAAACAGTGATTGCACTATTTCAGGACTAAAGAATATGAAACAAATGTTGGTAACGCGTTATTTTACTGTACACCAATAACTGTGTAATAATATGGTAATAACATGGTAAGTTAAACTATATTACAAGGTAACAAGAAAAACTTTAATGAAAATTTTGGTAAGTGTTGTGTTTAAAATTTTAGGCAGGAAAGGTAAAGTCAGACTTCTTTGATTTCAATTCGTTATTACTTGGCAACTCATATTCATGTCGCAGACAGCAATAAATTAATGTGTTATTATCTGGTAAAATGCAGTTTATTACTTGTCATATAACAGAAAACCAGTCTTCTTCACTTAACTCTTATTTACATGTGAGTTCAGTTTTATAATGCTTTATTTCCCAGGTCATAAGTTCCAATTAACTTTGTAAGCCATTGGTAGGTGGTGACCATTAATAGAGACTGTTATGAGGTATAACCTAATGGTAATTACTGTCATGATTTTACTAAAGTTCAGAGCCAAATGCAGAAGACCAAACGGGGAGACCAGGGGAAAAGGTTTACCAGGTTTTATTGAAGAGATAATGCTGAAAAGTGAGGGGAAGGCACAGCGATTAGTTCAGGCTCAGTGGGAAAATAGATTTGTGAACTTGGAAAAGAGAATTTGGTTGCTGACTCATGTTTCCAGAGAAGTTGTTGAATCTTTGACTCCAGTCTGTATGCTGTAGTTCCAGTGTTTGTCTGATTTGGTGGAGGGCGGAACAGGGTTTACCCAGAGAGGGGCTGTTTGTAGGTGAACGGAGAAACTGACTGCTACTTAGATTTCCTGCGGTACTTGAACGGGTCGTAATGGAGATGAATCGCTTTCTCAGTGTGAAGCTCAAACATTCTCTTGGGGAAAGTGGATCCAGACCTAATGTTTTAACCCCAGCTGGAGAGAAGGTACGAAAAATCCAGTTTGCAGGATGACTTCCTGCCGAGAGGCAAAAGACAAACAATGTTAGAACTCAGGTTGACTCAGCAAAACTCAGCTTGGCTAGAGTACCCAAAACTGGCAAACACTCTGGCGTCGAGGTAGTGACAGTCAGCAGCTTAAAGGGATAGTTCGGTATTTTTGACATGAATCTGTATGGCATCCCCATCACCAGCGGCGTGCAATCACACTGACTTACCCCTGGCAGCGTCCTGTGAGCAGAGTT